TGAGATTTGAACGAGCGAGAATGCACCTCCTAGGCTTGTACTTGAAAAATGAAACTCCTTGCACAGGTAATTGAAAATCACGGAGTTAAGTGAGATGTTATATCAAGACATGCATACTAAAATGCTGTTTTTTTTTTGTGTGTATTAGGCTTATTGTTGTAAATTTTACACTGGCTATACTTAACTCAGAAAACAAACGATATCAATCATCTCATGTTAGTGCTTAATGTAATTATTAGAAATAGTGTATTGGTTTGTTGGTTGGTATTTTAAGGAAAAGCATGATATATGAAATCTACAAAAAAAAGGAATACTTTGTACTACGGTTTTAGGACCATATGGTTTATCATAGGAAGAAGTCTACAATTAGGTTTATTTAAATGAGCTGATGAATTAGCTTTCTATTTATATTTAAAAACGAAGTGCTTCTTGTATTTATAAGAATTTAAGGTTTTTGAAAAAATGGTAGTTATTACTATCAAAAATGACAGTTTTAGGAAGTTTTGAAGTTCGAGAAAGAAGCATGGATACCTAAAAGCGTTAAATAAAATGAATTTAAATATCTTACACTACAAAGCTGTTCTTTTAACATACGTCTAGTTTCATCAACGTTCCTGTTCATGCTCAGTTATATCTGTAGACTGCTCTCTTGTAAGAATTTCTGAAAGGGTTGTGTTGCATTCACTTTGATTGAGATTAAGTTTCCCGCTAGTACCGTGTTGATGAAGCATCTGATCGGTTAGTGTAAGAAGTCTTCGAGCCGTTTGTTCACTGTGAGTGAGCATGCTGCTCCAATTAGTTGCCGAAAACAACGTTTTTCAACAAAGCATGGTTTTACTTCCGAAATAATGTTTCTAAAGTTCCATGAACAATTGGTTCAAGGGCTTCAAAGTTTCAAGTTTTTTTTTACCCCACTGTTTCTTACAATTCGGCTTCTAAAGCCACCAAAAGACAGAAATACTTATGCCTAACCCTATTGGATACACACCACAGTGTAAAAGCCATTTCCGTTTCGCGAGGTTCTTATTGTATAAAAACATAACACATCGCTCTAATGTACTTGTCTCCATTATCTGGTCGCCACTTGGCCGCGTTTCCACACGTATTGTAGTCATCAGGGTAACCTCCAATACCAAATCCAATTCTGGAATCACACCACTTGCAATCATTTTCATTGTTGGCAACAAAACCAATTCTTGCTTTGGACCCCCCTTGACAAAAAACATTGAAACCTTCCTTGTTACAGTTGCTCTGTAAGGAGGCTTGCAGACCAATCAACGTCTTCCACGTGTCACGACCCAGTGAGGTGTTGCGATACTGTCCGTCAGCGATCAGTGAGTACAAAGAATCAGCCGTCTTGTTTATAACGACAAAACTTGGATTTTTTACGCCGTTGATTTTCATTCCAAGACAGATCTTGTGGAAAGGTGTGTTCCAGTAGGTGTCCAACTTCGTCTCTTGTGTATCAAATACTACCTTTCCTCCTACCGGATTATATGTTTCCATGTTGCTCCAAAGGTCCGAGTTATAGCGGAAGGTTCCCTGTAAACCATATTTAAACAGAAAACGTATGTTTGCTGTACTAAACTAAATTTATTTTCAGTTATTTGCAAGTCAATAAGTACAGAATTTTGACCGAATTTTGACTTGCATCTGTTTCTTTTGGAATTTAGAGAGAATAACAAATTTCATCGTGATGAAAATTCAGACTTCTTAATACCTTAGTGCCGTCAATCTTCATGACAAGCGTCCATCGACCTACTCCGCATGCTCCAAGAACACAATAGGGGCTCGTTTCGTTGGTCCTGTGGATTTAACATAGCCCTCAAGCTAAGAAGGACACATGAAGTTTATCGTTCTCTCTCTGGATGCTTCGTATGCACTTTTTATGCAACGGATGGTGTTAAACGTACTTAAAATTTGGACGGTTTTGGGGCAATTTGTGTGTGTGTGTGTGTGTGTTTTGTTTTTTAGAGGCAGTTTGTCAAAGAATATAAGAAAACACGATTACAAATCACAGCGATAGTCACAGCCATTTGTCATAGCGGTAGTCCACAGCCATTTGTCACAGCGATAGTCCTCATTTTGGGATCGGAAAACTCTGTCATTTACAGGAAAACTGGCTTTATTATAGCTAATTGAGCTGTCATGTTATGATTTAAATTATTGAACTAAAAGAAGTGAGCTTTTGTTTACTTACAACTTCTTCTGATAAACATCCCTGCACTCCATGACTGAGTGAGCAAAGCAAAGTTAAAATAAATAATGTAGAATTTGTCAAATTCTAAACTTCTCTCGAGAAACGGTGTAATATACCTTGAACTGAACCTCTTCAAAAAGGCCATCTTGGGGACAAAGGAAAGTGGTCGTATATGACACGTGTTTTGGGGTGGAATTTAGTATTTTTATCGTTAAAAACGCACAGTGTTGCATGTGAATAGGCAACACACTCAACATATGATTATCTATAAAACGGAAACCAAACTAAAACAGAGACCAGCGACCCGCGGTATGAAGCAAGTTAAGTATCGTTTTCCAATAAAAATGGAGTTTTGTATACACCGTTCGTCAGTCGTTGATGAACTGGCGGTTGTCCCCTTTTGGCATTTGGAACGTGCTTTACTAACCGTTGTCGTCGTGAAGAGATTAGAGAGTTTAAGAAAGCCACGACGCAACGGCAACGGGAACGTCGCTAAACAAAAGGTTTAATGAGCAGAACAATGGCTGTGCACGCGCGTTATGATTCTTGGTACATTTCTTTGCCGTCCCCTGCGAAACAAGAACGTGAAATGGCCAAATTCCGCGTCGTCTGAACAACGTGAACTACAACGGCTAATTTTTTAAACTTCTATTTCAAATTTATCTCTGTGTCCCAGATTCAGTTTCGGGATAGTTTGGACAGTCATAAACAAAGTAAATGACTTAAGAGTATCGCGAGATTCGTCGGTAACATATAAATTCATTTTTTAATCGACGTTATCCTCGGCGTCGCCGTCGTAGCTTCTTAAACTCCCTATTGCCGATGTAGAGAGGTTAAAATAAGAGTGAATGAATGAACCGTCCGCCGGGACAAAAAAAGTGGCCGTTGCAGAGAGGTGGCCGCAGTGAGAGGTGATGGGCACTAGCTGATTAAACCCAATGAAATTACTCATGTGTATTTTAGGCAACTGAATTAAGCGAGTTTATGTTATTGCCATCTATCTGAGTAGTCTTTACATCAACGAGTGATCGAGTGAACTTGAACTATCGCCTTTTTCGAAAACAAAGAAACAAACAAAACTAACAAAAACCTTAATCTGAAGTAAGGTTTTAAAATGGAAGGCGTTTTTGTATTGAAAAATGTTCATGGATGAATTTTTCAGCTTCTGTACATATATCTTAATGCCGTTCCAAGCTACAAAAAAGGAATGAAAATGTGCTAAAATGTTGCCTCTCAGACCATTTCCATTCCCTCTGTTTCTAGTTTCCTTTTTTCGCTCCTTTTATTTACTTTCCTTAAGTTTCTTTTCTTTACAATCTTCTTCTTTCCTAAACTAACCATTGCCTTTTGACTGGGTAGCCAAATGTCTGTGTGTCCCTTGATCTCTATTCTTATCCGTTATTTCAAATAATTGCCATTTACGACCTAGAATCAGGAGAAATGGTTTGTTTTTCATTCGTATTGTAAACATCAACTCACCTGCACAGTCTCCTCCATCTCCAGAATATCCAGGTTTACAAGAGCAGTTATATGAGCCTTCGGTATTAATGCATACAGCATTAACACCGCAGTCGTGGGTTCCTAGAGCACACTCGTCAATATCTTGAAAGAAAACATTTTTGCAATTGCGTTAGCCTTAGTTCAATACCAGGAAGCGCCTAAGCATCCATCCTGAAGATCAATATGGGGACTAGCCTTCCCCCCTCTCGGGTCAATGTCTTACCCTATTAAAAATCCTTACAATAATCGTGGATATGGTGTTCTATTCCTCGTCCTATGTCACAAATGTAGTTTGAGTTGCGCGGACGAATGCACCTTTGCTGAAGCATTTGTTCTCACCTAGTTGACAATCACGACCATGGAATCCAGCAGTGCACATGCAGCGGTATCCTTTGTCTGTAAAACCGGTTTGACAGGTCGCGTTGTTCTTGCTGGGTCTATTGACACAGAGGCTCTAAAAACACAAATATGTCACCTTTAAATTATGTATAAACCAAGGAAAAGCGTTTTCGTGAGCATCTCAGTGATTCGCTGGACGTCACGGTCTGTTGCGGCAGAACCCAAGTTCAAGTCCTTCACCCTTCCCTACCACCAGCTGGATTTGTTCTCGGTGGTCTCGAGCTACCTCCTCGTTTGCGCTTTGTAAATACCCAACTGGTCAGCCTCCCAAAAGTTAGGATTTTGTAATTTATGTTTGGATTTATTTGTAATTTGTCGCACTGTTTGTTTCCACTGGCCCTGAAAAGCTTCTTTGTAGTGGCCAATTACAATAATTACTGATTAAGTTAGTAATCGATTAATTAACTTACTTATTAATTAGTAATTAATTAATTAATTAATTTATTTATTTATGTGATTAGTTATTTCATTTCATTTTACCTTAGTTCCACGGTATACATATTCCGGATTTTCTTTGAGGTCGTTTTCGTTTCCTTCATGAGTAGCATTATTTAATTCACATCTGTGTCCCTCAGCTTCACTTCTCCTCATCAAATTATAACTTTCACAGTTGTGCTCCATGTAACAAAGCGCATCACAGAAGTCTGTCATCAAGGGATCATGAACCCGTATCACGTGATTCACCAGACGTCTTCCCTGGAATGTTTGTTCGGCTCTGAACTCCAGGTGACGACATTGATCTGAAAAGGAGTCTTTGTTGATATGGGCTCGCTTTACTGACATTAATTATGGATGTTTGAGCTCTAGACCTTTAATCTCATTTCTGTTTCTAATTCTTATCCAAGGTAATGGTAGTTCCGTTTGATTTTTTCCCTCTCTATTTTGTTTAGTTTGGCATGCAATTGTATCTCCAACTGTTGTGATTAGATATTAGCATTATTTTTTGATTTAAATATGCAGCTGTTATTATCTTTTTGCTTAAATCAGGGGTGCGAGGACAAGGAGAGAGCGGTTGGTGATAAAAAAAACCTTGTACAGACGAAAAAGATAATTTCTTTCAATCAGTTTTAATATTCGGACGTACGTACACTCAAAATCATCCCCTCTGTGTTCAGGAGGGAGGTGGATATAGCTCTTTGGTTTCCATTGAAATGGAACGTCAAAGTAGACAGTCCTTGGCTTTCTTTTCAAGATGGTATATTTGTGTTAGTCACGACGTAACGTTACATTATGTAACGTCGTTAAGTCCGTCATTTTAGATACACCGTGACCTATTTCACTCAGTTTTCTCAGAAGGTTAGAAAACAACGTAGATTAATGGCAAAATGGTAATTATACCAAAAGTGCCGAGTTTGCAGTTCTCCTCAAGAAAACTAAGTAGTATTCAACAAAAAAGACGAAATTTCGCTTAAACTGCACGACAAAATGCGGTTGCCATGACAATGAAAAAAGACGTGAAGAAACAGTTCAGACATATCAAATATTTAAAGAAGGTGACACACCGTTTAAATTTGCAAGACATGTTTTACTTCGGATACTCAGTTAAGGATGTTTACAAGTGAGTGACTATATATATAGTAGATAACAAGTAGGTGTTGATTACAACTTGTAGAATAAAAGTTACAAATAAGTGCAAAAGTTACATAATACTTAAGGGATAAAACGGAGTGGGGGAATAAAAAGGTGCGAGTGCAAATCTGTGAAAAAAGCTGAATACAAATAGTAATTAAAGTAAGAGTGTTAAATTAACATGTTTGAGTTGTTTATTCAATGCGGATCGTTCCCATTCATTATGAAGGGCTTCTTTGATCTTAAGTTGGAAATTGGTAAGAGCCGAGTCTAAGATGGAAAACAATTAAAAGAGCATAGATTCTTACAAATTCATCCAAAAAGGGTAGTTTACGGTTCTCCTCTTTCTCCATAGTGAACTTGATGTTAGTATGTTGTGAGTTGATGAAATCAAAATATTGAGGGGCATCATTATCGTTGTTAAATACGCAAAACGTATCGTCCACATTTGCGATAGAAAAGAACTTCAGGGCCGTTGTATTTTTGTAACCAATCTTGCTCATGGTGACCCATAAAAATGGATGGATTTATGGATGTACTCGTTGACAACAGTCACCTCGATTTTCTAGTAACATCAGTGTTCGAGAGCGGTAAACGGAAACGGTACTCGACCAAAACACTTCAAAATCGGTAAAATTGTTAACTCTAAGCGACACACAACTCTCTAAAAGGCACAACAACTGCTCACTGGAAACTGTCTAAAACTCTGCCAATAAACGTCCACGCAACTTAAATTCGAAGGCGCAACTAACGTACGCGTAACTTAAATTCAAAATGTTTCCGTACACGCGCGCGCTATTCGCGTGTCACGACACTTCGGAACTGTCTTCTTAAGGTAATTCCCCTGAAATAAAACTGCCAATAGATTTTTGTTCAAACTTTGTCCACTGAATATTTATCGTATGAGAACTTTAATTATAAAATAAAAAAACGGGGGTGCCCATGCTCGTTAAGGAGAAGTGAGACATTAAAAATGTCCCATTTTAGCATTATTTAATGCTTATTACAAGAACGCATTCCAAGTTATTGCAAACTCTTTGTGAGCCCAGACTCATGAAAACACGCCTCAAATTACAGTCAATAGTTGTGTCGGACACAGATAAACTTTTTAAGTTTGATTTTGACAGACAGCTGAATCCTCGTTAAAATATTGGAAGCAAATTGCTTGCCATGGCTATCAAACTGCAAAATAGAAAAGACTACAGCGCAGCTGCTATTTGCCTTATTTTTTCAATTTTCAGCAAAAGAAATCAGATCAATATTTTCTCATGCAAAGCTAATGATTAGTTGATTGAAATGATTGGAAAAAAATTTGGGGTGCTTGAGCTCGTTAGTGAGCTATAGCCATTTTTCAACTGACAGAACTCACTATCAAGGCAAATCCGCCATGTTTTCAATGTGCAAATCCGCTATGTTTTCAATGTGCGCGCGCACGAGCGCGCGCGAATGACGCCATAAATTATGCGCAGTGAGGATGAGCAATGCAAATGTGAGGAATCACCTTAACAATCAGTGTTTCGGAAAACTGCTCACTATTTTTTTTCAGTTTTACACCCTTTTCTTACAAAATTAGACTCATTCGTACATTAGTGGACAGGGCCTTGAAAATCAACAACACTTGGAGCGGCTTTTATACCGACATCGAACAATTAACTTCTATTCTTATGAAAAATTGTTTCCCATGTAACATTATACAAAGGGTATTTAATCAATACCTTTATATAAGGTTTTACCTCAGTTGATGCATCCCGGCAGGACCATTCTAAGTTAACCACCAAACGGTTTTTCAAACTACCTATATTGGCCCCTTTTCCCTTTTAGCGCAACGTAAAATCAAAATCATCGCTAAGAAATATTGTAAGGATTTAGACATTAGGTCAGAGCCTTTACTTCCTATAAGTTAAGTAATAAGTTCAGTGTGCAGGACTCGATCCCCACTTGTGCTCCGTTCCCAGGTGGTTTACAAATTTACACGTGCAGGATGTCATACTTGTTATGTCGGTAAAACCACCAGACATTTTGGCACTAGGGTTCGCGAGCACTTACTCTCGGATCGCAATTCCCATATTTATAAACATCTTCAGGGTTCTGAGTCGTGTAAGAATCTATGCTCTTTTACTTGATTTTCCATCTTCGACTCGGCTCTTACCAATTTCCAACTTAAGATCAAAGAAGCCCTTCATATAGAATGGGAATGACCCGCGTTCAACAACTCAAATATGTTAATTTAACACTCTTACTTTAATTACTATTTGTATTCAACTTTTTTCCACAGATTTAAACTCGCACCTTTTTATTCCCCCACTCCGTTGTACCCCTTAAGTATTATGTAACTTTTTCACTTATTTGTAACTATTCTTCTACAATTTGTAATCAACACCTACTTGTTATCTACTTTATATATAGTCAATCATCTTGTAAACATCCTTTAACCGAGTATCCGAAAAAACATGTCTTGCAAATTTAAACGGTGTGTCGTCTTCTTTAAATGTTTGATTTCAATCTTACTACTACGAAAATCAGACATATCAACTTTCAGCGATGGATGATTAAACAACTACTGAACGTTTTAGCATCACAAACGTTACCATGGTTCTTTCTAAAATCCCCGAGAACCGTTAGCTGAGCCAATTTGTTTACAGGAATCTAAAGTTATTCGCAACTATGGTTTGCATCAGTTTAGTTAGATATTCTAGTGCCATAAGAGCGTCGAATTCGCGGGAGTTTTAGTAAAATTGGATATTTCGTTATTAAAAAATAAGACCCGCGGTGACTGACGATGGTAATTTACCACTTTTGATTAAGACGTTTGCGTAAAAACTCATATCCCACTGTTACGTAAAAAGATGATTAATTGTTCAACGCAGATCCCAGTAAAACTGCTGAGTCGTGAAGTTCTTTTCACGACAGATTAGACTTAAACATCAAGAGTTATTCAGATCATGGGGCAGGTGCTCAGAGCTTCTAATAAGAACAAACAATACCGAACATAATGGCGCAAACAACAACGGCTTAAGAAATTGCATGCACGTTCTGTTCAAAACCTTATCAGTTCCTATATTTCTGCGCGAACATGATGGTGAGAAGGCTGCATGCACTGCATCAATTACAAAAGGTTCTTTTAGTCATTTAGGTTTTAGATTGCACTCTTCCATTCGAGGCAGCTTTCGCTCGGCGACGCTTTATTTAGCAGCAGGAGCTGAACAGTAAGGAATATCAGCCCTAACTTTTGCCTGTGGTTAAACATTAAAAGCATGAATGTGTTCGGAGAAAATTAAATGCTGGCATTTTTGTTCTTTAAATTCTGCTTTGGAAGCGTTTTCCAATCTGTCTTCTGAAAGCGTACGTTGTGCAAAGTTGTGAGGTGCCAGCTACTTGAGTAGAATTAACGTTACACATGAACATCAGTCCTGAACATCGGTTTACAATACATCCAATTTAAAAAGTCGCTTATGGAGGACAAAAATTGGCTCTGGTAAGATTTGGATGACGAGGACAAGGCACATTGTCGTCCTTAAAAAATGCTGCTGGTTAGAAAACAAACCGAAACGGAACAAAAGGAAGACAAAGTATTGAAAGGGGTATATTTAAGCTTACCGACGGAGCAAGTGACTTCTCTTATCAGAAATGACCACAAGAAGAACTGCAGGTGGAAATGAGCCGAGCAGTTCAAAAAGGGATACATACTCGCCAAAGATAAAACACGACGTATATAGTGTGGCGAGGAGTGGAACAAAAACGTCATTTCTTGGAAAACCTTGTCAAGCATTTTCCGTTCAAGCGTAAACTTACATTGTTATTATTATTATTTATTTTTTTTAAAGAGTAAATTTCTTAACATCAGCTTTCACCAATGAACTTTCTCCAGCTTCAGTCCGCCCTTCACTTGTCACTATTTGTTGACAGGTAATAGCGGGAATGCTATAATATCTCTTTTTTGGAGATCTTTAATGTTTTGATATACCACAGTAACCTAAATTGCAAAATTTAGGATCTTTGACCTAAAAAATAAATTTAATCAGCTTGTGCTTCAGTTAAAAGGGATCTCGTCATTACTTGGGTATAGTGAACGTTGGAAGGGGAAACAGCGACGACGAGACTGCATGGCCTTGTAAAACAATCTGAGGTAAATCGTCCCAAACAATTGACGGAAATGAACGAAGGAAATAACGTTCTCCTGAGATATCGTTTGCTGCATTAAATTATTTTACAACACACGTTTCGTACATGCAAGAGAAAATAAAAACATCGATTATTAATCTGACTAGAAGCTGATAAGTTCTTGTCTCTATCAGACGTACACTATTTCTGTCGCTGTCACTTCAAAAGGCTCGCATACATAAAAGAACCCTGGATATGACATCAATTTCAAAACAGCGCGTCAGTTGAACACGATGCAGGTGAGTAAACCATCGTGAATAGAGGCATGATAGTATTGCGCGCAAACGAGTTTCATGGACATATTCGCAGTGAGGACATCTTGGCTGGATGCATTGCCAATTTCTAGAATAATTCACCATATCTTAAAAAATATTCAAAATCTATAAAATCGACTCAAAATATATTCAAAAAACGAAACACGTCTTTTTATTTCGTTTTTCCATCACCTGCAGAATGTACAAGTTCAGTAGACGCGAGAAAGTGTTTCATCGGGTATCCAATTTTTTTTTACCTTACACTACTAACACTTCTCACAATACCAACATTACCTATAGTACTTACATTACTTACAATGCTAATAATACACATGAAAAAATTACTCGATTCTGATTGGCTAAGAGCAGTGCAGTTCAAGTGTAACACCAGTGCAAAAAGTGTAACATCAGTACAAAAA